GAGCAAGGACGCTACTAGGGGCTCCTGGCATCGCTACTAGGAGCAAGAAGCTTCTAGGTTGGAGGACATCGCTATTCGGCTACTACTGTTTGGGCCCAACAAATCTCAAACGGTTCGCATGGTTTGGGGCCAACAGTCTGTGAGGTCTTCACTTTCGCTGTACTTGTTGAGGCGGGCTCACCGGAGCATTGGTTCGATTGTTTTGAAGTCTTCCCGGAGTAAAACCTCCGTTTTGCTTGGTTATGCAGTGAAGCTTCCTTTCACTTACATTCTGTTGTAGTTTTGGTGGGTAATGCTTGTGTAAGGTTTTCGGTAAAAAGGAAGCGTGCCATGCGAGGTGAGGAAGGCAGAAGACTTGAGAGTTTGACCCGATTGAGCTGAGGCAGCCTGGGGCGAAGTAGAGCGTAGTCAGCCCCTGAATATGTGGAACGGCACTGGCAGATGTTTTTCTCTTTTTAATCTTCAATTTCCTTTTTGTTTTTCCTGGTCTTTAGTTCTTTGACACCGGCTCTTTGGGCAAAGCGTGGCGGTGAGCTAAGGTAACCACCAGCTTCTTCGACATGAACAGGGACGTCCCTGGGCCGCGAGCAGCTATCGTAGCACTTGTTGCGCTTCATGCAGCCAACCTAAGAGCGATGGCCTCCAACCTACTCCCTAGAAGCGATGGCCTCCAACCTAATAGCAATGACCTCCCCCAAAAAACCCATCAGAATGTGTTCTGTATTCAACCAGGAACGATTTTGAAACAGTGAGCCGTGAAAGAAACAGAATGCAACACTAATTCGCATCCATCAAAGCTTCAGCCTGCCGCAAAAAGGCGGAGTCCCACTTTTGTTACGAGCAAGACCAACAACAATGACCACCGCAACTGTACAAATGGGGGCCAACTACGTCAGAGTCACTTCTGTGCAGAGCAAACATCTCTTTCTCTTGTGCAGCCTTTTCTCTCGTGACAATCCGATCTGGAACTGTCACCCTGGTCATCCACTGAAGACTCTCTGGTTCACGGGAATGCTCCTCGTCGAAGGTACTTCAATTCCACAGATGCAGACTGCAACATCTCAAGTTGAACGACTCCTTTAGAGCACTTCAAAGCCATTCCTACTTCAAGCAATCCCTAGCATCCCATAACTCACATAACTCACAGGGAAGCTTTAGGTAGCTGTACTTCCAGTTATGTGGTCACTCTACTTCTTTGTCGGGGATTTAGGTCTTGACTGCTGTGAGGCATTGGCGTCAATGTGGAGGTAAGTTCTGGAGGCGCAAACAGTCACAGCTTTACAAAACTTGCACGGTGCAAACATGACATGAACCGCATTGTCTAACCTAATAGCGATGGCCTCGAACCTAATAGCGATGGCTTCCAACCTTTGATATTTTGCCGAGAGTTTCTTCGAAGTTTTTGTTTTGCTTCACTGAAACCTTTTATGCCTGGTTTTTTGGCACCTGGTTGCATGGTGCTCTCAGATCGCGAGAGGACTCAACGAGATCCAGGTTCACTCCTTGCCCAACTCTTCGGCTGAAGGTCAACGTTTGGATTTTCGACTTCCTTTCTTCTAACCGTTTTGTACTGAGATGTTTTCTCTGCCTTTTTCCTCACCTGCCAGGTGCGGGTCTTTAGATTTCAACAAAGGTGCTACTCCTCTGCTCTCCTCTCCTCTGCTCTGCTATGCTCTGCTCCCTTCCTCTTCTTTCCTTCTTCTTGCCATGTCATCATATCACAGCGAGTGCCAGCTCAGTCTGGGCACGCACGGACCTGCGCACCATAAGATATGCCACTTTGAATGCCAATGCCAGAAGATGTGCCAGATAGAATGCCAGAAGTTGGACTTCGGTGGTGGCAGATATGGGGCGTCAGCGTGACAATGCAAAATGCACTTGAAAAGCTTCAAGACGTGTCTCTGGCGACGAAACATACAGCTCATTGAAGTCTGTCATGAGTATACCGACGGACCGGAAGTTAGAATGCCATGTTGCACCGCCAGAGATGGAAAAAAGTTGAACTTTTCATAGGGGATGGCGTTTTGGGGGCATTCTAACTGAAACCTGCATTTTTACAGGGTTTTTGAACTTGGCTCTTTGATGTGTCCTAAAACAGATAAAACAGTGATACCGGGAATCAAAGTTTGTTGAACACCGTCCTTTGTACTGGATTTATGCGTGTAAATGCCATTTCCTGCCCTGATCCAGCCGCCTATTCTCTTGCTTTTTTTGTTTATTGTTCAACTGTTCCCTTTTCTGTGCCTTTCGCTTTTCTTCTGTTTCCTTTCCTCGTTTCCTGAACTGTTTCCTTTCCCATTCCTTCTCCTTTCTGCTACCATGTCCCGTTCTCAGCAATTTTGTCCCTCTTCCTTTATCCTTTCCTTTCGCCTTTTTTCTACCATTGTTTCCTGTTCCTTTTTCCTTGTCATGTCCTTCTGTTTCTCTATCCTGTATGTTTGCAGTATGCAGCATGCAACGGCTGGGCACATAGGTTGTTTTCAAATCTATGCATGCATATACATACACTCACAGACTTGTTCCCACAAATTGCAGCAAGGAAGGGGGAGGAGAAACAATGGCAGGATACTTGGACATTCTATCCTTTTCATTGTTCCATGTGCCTTTCCTCTTCCCTGTTCCTTTCCTCTTGCCCCTTTCCCTTCCTTTTGCCTCTTGCCTTTTCCTGTCTCATTGTTCTTGACATTTCATATGTTTGTGGTTGTTTGTTTTCCTGTTCCTTTTTTTGTTCCTTTCTCCTTTGTTTTGTGTCCGTTCCTTTTTACCTGTTCTGTTTCCTTCCATCCTCCTCCTCCTTTCTGCTTCCATGTCCCACTCATTCTTAGCAATTTTGTCCTTTTCCTGTTCCTCTTCCTTGTGCTTTCCATGTGCTTTTTCTGCAATTGTTTCCTCTTCCCTTTTCCTCCTCCTTGTCCTGTCCTTTTGCTTGTCTACTCTGTAGGTTTTCAGCTGTCTGCATGCATACACACACTCACAGACTGACAGCTAGAATGCCTGTCTTGATCCAAAAAATTGCAACAAGGAAGGGGGGGAGGAGAAACAATGACAGGAACATTAGACATTCTATCC